TCCCTATAAAAACGTTCCATCTAACTGATTGTCACTCCTTCATCAATGAGGGAGAGATGGGAAACTGGATCCTGCAGCTCAGGGAATGAACCGGAGCAGCTTCAGGGGTTGTTTTCCATGTGGTGATGTGGTGATTTGGACAAACCTTCTCCGGGAACCCAAAAAGGGCCTCTGAACTATCATACAAGTCTCTCCCTAGAAAATGATTCATTTAACTCATGTCAGCCCCTTCGTAAATGAGGAAAGAGGAACTGTTAAAGCAGCTCACATGTTTGTGAGCAGCTGCTGGTGTTTCCAGGAAAGGATGTGCTCCTATGGATGAAATGTTGAGGGGGAACGGATGAGACGTAAGAACAGTCATTTAAATCTGAAAATAGACTCCGATGGACTGATGTTCATTGACGGGGAGGAAGGGAGCCTCGTTAAGTAGCCCCCTTTGTCTGCAGCTGCTGGTGTTCAGAGGAAAGTCTCCACACCTACAGATGAAATGTTGAGTCAGACTGGATGAGACGTCTGAACAGTCATTTAAATCTCACCATAGACTCTGATGGATTGATGTTCTTTGACTGGTCCGCTGGGAACGTCCCGTCGTAGCCGTCTGCATGTTGAGGGTCATCGTCCTGCTGGAGGAAGAAGCTCCTTCTGCAGACCATCATGTTCTCAAGGATTGTCCGGTATTTGGCTGCATCCATCTTCCCCTCGTGACGGCTTCCTGCTGAAGAGGAGCGTGATGCTACACCACCATGCTCCCTGTTGGGGTGGTGTGCTCAGGTTGACGGGTGGTGTTGGCTTTCCTCCACACAGCGTCTCACATCGAGGCCAAGAAGTTCCATTCTGGTCTCCTCTGAGCAGAGCACCTTGTTCCTCATGTTGCTGGTTCTCCCACGTTGTGTTCAACTCCAAACAGGATTTCAGTGTCATCACACTTTGAACGTTTTATCCTCAGAAACAGAGACTTTATGAAAAAAGCTGTTTAATTTAAAAGGGAAAAAACACCTTTTTACAAGACAAAGTAATCTGATATTTTCATATTTACACTTTATTATGTACAATAAAACATGCAGGTAATTTCACAATAAAAGACCTGGGAATATGTTTTTTAAAAGCTCTTCCGATTGGTTGATATCAGTCTTCCTTCTCATTGGCTGTTCCTGGCTGAGTGGGCGGAGCCTCGTCCTCAGAGCCAGTTTGGCGCGCCGCCGTCCGAAACAGACGCATCAAATCCCGAAACCGGCGAGAGACCTGCAGACACGAGGAAGAGTTACTGACAGCGTTCCTCTCGACCAATCACAGCCTCCGCAGAGCGACCATCACCTCGCTCGGAGTCTTGTTGCTGAGCAGAGTGGAGACGGACTGGAACGTCTCCTGATTGGCTCCTTCGCGCTGACACGTCGTCAAAATGACTCGATCAGCTTCTCTGAAAAAGCAACAACGGGTTTAGATTCCTTCCCTCAGCGGAGGAGACGGGAGCTGCACCGCAGATTCACCTGGTCCACAGGATGACTTTCTCTCCGCTGGCTGACAGGGAAATGTTCTTGGCGCAGACCGGGAGGTCGGGAGGAGGAGCAGGCCGATGAGGAGCAGAGGAGGAGCAAATAGGAGATGTGATGGAGGAGGAGACGGAGGGAGAGGTAGGAAGAGTGGAGGAGGTGCTAGAATCCCACCCCCACCTCCTCCTCCTCCTCCGTCCTGCTCCTCTTCACCTTCTCTTCCTCCTCCCCTTTGTCATCCAGCTCCTCGTCAATGAGAGAGAGCGAACCTTCCCATGATGCAGCGCTTTGTTCTGTGGACAGAACGAACAGTTACTCCCGTCGGTGAGCAGCAGAAACACCAACAGATTCGTCTTTACCTGCCGGAGTAAAAACACGTGTCGTGATGCTGAAGAAAGATGGAGATCACGACTCACTGATTGAACGCTGTGGTTGTTATTAGTCGTTCTCGGTTTTCTGTCTTTACTTGTGTGTTTCCGGTCTCTTGTCTTGTTAGGTTGTAAAATCTAAATAGATTCATAAAAAACACACCTGGCTGAGGACGGTTGTTGTCCCCCTTCGGATCCAGGTCTTTGATTGGTCCTGGGTCGTCGTGGGTGGAGCCTATCTGAGGATACAGAGGGTCCAGACTCTTCATGGCTCTGGACACGCCCCCTGAGGCCTGATGGGATATGAACGGTGAGGCGGACAGGTCAGTTGAAGCTCTCTACCTGTCTGTCTCTCATCACAGAGGACAGACTTTGTGTCGGGATGATGATGATGATGATGATGATGATGATGATGATAAGAGGAGTCCATTAGTAACAGCCCACTAAAGGTACCCCTCCATGTGTGTGAGCAGACCTTGTAGTTCCTGTGGGGGGCGATCTTCCTCCGGCGGCGCCGACCCGTCATTGGCTGGATCTTGTGCCCCTCCTCCTCATCTTCCAGCTCCGGGAGCGTCACCTCCTCAAAGCCGCCGCCAGCTACACCACCTGACACGTGGCCGACGCCCTCTCCGCTGTCCGACCCGCCCCCTCCTTCATCCGGCCAATGGGCTTCTTCAAACTGTCCCGGGCGAGCTGGTGGTGGGCGGAGCTCGTCAAAAAATACCCAGAATTCAGCTTGTAGATGGGTGTGGCCTTTTAACAGCGCGGCCATCTGAACCTTTAGCTGAACACACACCAATCAATATCGTTATTGATAATGGTTAACGGTTTACAACAGAGTTAATATGATAATGTCAGCTAGGCAGGACACCTGACCCCTAATCGCTCCCCGGACAAAATGTGAAAAGCCGCTAGTTTAAAGTGTAACGTGGCGTTGGATGAAATGACCTGTGACGTGACGTAGTTGGTGCAGTTACTCTGATATGATGTTAACTGCTGATTTCTTTACGTCTTTACACCCATTATTGATAAAGCACCTCGTCGATGCTGCTTGGACTCAGGTCTGGACCGGTCTGCAGCGCTTTGATGATCTTCTGATAATGTGACGGATTATCTCCAAAACTGATCTCCAGCTGCCGCAGGAAGCGGCGGCTGCGCTCAAACGCCTGCTGCTCCTCAAACTGCAGCCGGGACAGAGACACAAGCCCACAGGTTATGAGCATCAATATCCACTCCAGCCCAATACAAAGGGTCGCTGACCCCCCGGCCTGCTCACCAGCCCACACTGCAGCGCCTGCTGAGGATGCAAGAAGGCGGCAAAGTCTCGTAGGAGGTCCGTCCGCTCTCCGAGGACGCAGCGCAGCTTCCTGAACAACGACGTCAGCTCATGTCCGTCTCCCACCTGCTCAAAACCGTTCAGCAGACACACAAACTCCTCCACCTGCCCAGGTAGGTCATGCAGCGCCTCGCGCACCTGAAGACACAGCGAATCATCTGGGGCTTCATTAAAGAGACGGGGGACAGGCTGACCGACGAGCATCCCACCTTTAAACGTCGACTAGAGCGACACGACAGCGTGAAGTTGAAGACATGGCAGAAACACGCAGACCCTTGTCCGGTCGGAGTCGTGCTAAGCTAACTGACGGCAGGGCTCACCCTGCTGAGGTAGCTCTGGGCGAACGCCACGTCTTTGCTCTCTCTGTGCGGGTCGTTGTTGAGGAGGTTCTCGTCGTACAGCTGCAGCAGCTTAGCGGCGTCTTTGCTGTGGCGCTCCGAGCGACTTCTCCTCAGGCCGCGAAGAGGCCGGCTTCGCCCTGCGGAGAGAAGGCGGAGTTACAGACCCCAGGGTGGAGGCTTTACAGCGGCAGAAACCCCTCAGAGACAACGCTGACCTCGTCCTCGTCCGGGACACCTGCCTCCTCCTCTGGGCGTCCCGTTGCCGGATGGCGTCTCTTCATCTCTTCCTGGCTTCCTGCTCCTCCCTTCTCCAGACTCTTCCTCTTTGGGCCCCTCCTCTTCCTCTTCTTCTTCCTCCTCCTCCTCTTCCTCCTCCTCCTGAGAGCCAGGAGAGGTTGGCGAGTTGTCCTCCTCCGAGTCGCCGTCTGCACAGAGACGACGCTCTGCTGCCAGCCAGGTCAGCTGCTTCATGGTCTCCTGGAGAGGTCAGAGGTCAAAGGTCAGCTGCTTCATGTTCTCCTACAGATGTCAATAGTCACCCCCTGCAGTTACCTGCAACTCTGGGACCGACAGCACCGACTCCTCTGAAGCCGATGACATCACTTCCTCCTCATCTTCATCCTGCGTGAGGTCATCAAAATCCTCCTCCTCCTCATCCTCGCCCTGTCGGTCCTGATCCTCCTCATCCTTTTCTTCATCCTCGTCCCTCTCGCCCCCACCTCCTTCCTCCATTTGTCTCTCATCCTCCTCCTCCTCCTGACCTTGCTCCCCATCTCCCCCCCCACCTGTTTGCTCCTCTCCACCTCCACCTGCATCCCTCCCCTTCCTCTCCTCATCCTCTCCACCAGTGTTTCCTTCGCTCAAACGGGCCGAACCCAGTCCTGCCCGCTTCTCCTCCTCGTCTCCTGCACAGGACCAAAGACTGCGTGTTAATGAAGCTGAACTGTCCTCCTCCACCCGTCTCTCTTCTTCCAGTGGAAGGCGTGGCGTTGTGGAAGTCTTCTCCATTTCCCTCTGCTCCTTTCTGATTGGTCTGTAGATCTCTTGGGCGTTGACAGTGGGCGGAGCATGTGGCACGCGCACCATCTGGAGGAAGAAGTACCCCGGGTTCACGGCGTCAGTAGAGCGAGGCATTGTGGGATCGGTGCGGTCCGCGTGGGCCAGACAGGGGTGGGGGAGGAGGAGGGGGACGGCCTGTTGAATCCTCCCACCAATAGGAAGGCAGGACTGGATGGCGTCAGCGCACGGCGGGTGGGCGGGGACCGTACAAACAGCCACTGGGACAGCGCTAGAGTCAGGAGGCGGAGTCAGGGCGGAGTCAGAGAATAACGTCACATCTGGAGAGGAAGCGAGAGGAGGCCGATTGGCTGCACTGCTGCTCGTCTGTCAGCGGGTCCAGCTGTCGCTCTACGGGCTTTGGCGAGCGGCAGCAGAAACGCGTTGTGGGTCAAGAGAAGAGACGTTGTGGGGGGGTGGAG